CTCAACAAACCCAACTCTTCACAATCTGCACTAGATGTTTATGATTTGAGAGTAAAGCTGAAAGTGTTATTTTGCCCTTAAGAGCAATTTCTAAAGAGAAAAAAAAAAAAAGCAAATTGATATAACAGAGAAAAGAACTCCAGTTTCAGTAAAATCTTTGAAACTCTTCACTCCTATCAGCAATCTGAATCCACTCACACCTCTGACCGGAAATTCTTAATACCTTTGTGAAAAGAGCAGAATAAATCAGTTCAATTTCCAAAAGATTAATATAAACATAATCTATGGGCATTTTTGGTGGTAGATATCAAATATGATTTGGGTTTGGGAAATTACAGTTGCTTCTAACATCATTGTTTCCTTCAAGCCAAATTGGAAGCAGATTGCAGACATACTTCTACCATTCCTGGTCCACACACACATGAAGGACTAGTACTTTTCATCATAGCATAACACTTCAGAATATGTGGGATTTAAAGATCAAATCTGTGGGTATCCACAGGGTTTGAAAGATACCAGTGTAAATAGTGTTGCAAATAGTCAGCAGAAGCCACCTCTGGTATATGAAGCCCTTGAGTCCCAAGTGAATGGTGCTGGGATGTGTTTCTGAGAGGTGTCACAAAGCCTTCACCTGACATGCTTGACTCCAGGTAACTAATTTTGGCCCTGCTCGAAGACTTAGGGATGCTTCTTGGCTTAGATATTCTTGTATACATTCGAGAACATGGCACAATACTGAAACATGAATGAAACTGTGAAGGCTATCTCAAAGAATCACGTAAGGATTACTAGACCAAAGTTGCCAATATGTTTGAAAAACAGAGACCTTCACTTGGAGAAAATATAGGTCTGACATAAAAGCTCCATCTAAGATATATCATGAATCAGTACTCATGGACAATTAATAAAGTGTGCAATACTTCTTTCCTAGAAATGGAAAATTATATTAAAATAAACATGAATATGCATGAGAAAGTTTTTGCAAATCTAGTAAGCATATATTGCATGGCAAATGACAAAAACGATCTTCAAAGTAAACCCATTCATCTTTAAATTTGATAGCTAGCCTAAGGAATCAGTGTAGAATCAGATATAAATTTAGTGATCATATGGATTCTGTGAGTGAAACATGTTTACAGTTGACATCTTGGAAATACACTTACATGAATTAAAATTTAATATATTATGGAGAATAAAGTCTTTTACACTTTAACAGCCTGGTCCAAACCCTTAGGAAGACAAAAGAAATATTCCCTTTCACTTACATGAGTACTGGACCAGATTGATGCAGAGAAAATAACAGCCCATATGTTTTTGATTCTACTGATCTTTTGGTGGTGAAGAACCTCTTGGACTAAGGAAATACTAGGACACTCAAAAGAGAGCAATCCCTGATTTACTTCATTCTGGGAGGAGACTCTGAACCTGCCCTTGAATGCATGCCTTCTTAACTTCTTAACACATGGCAGTAAAGTAAATCCTGCAGAAAAGCTGCTGAACTTGCACACACTGTAACTTTTAAAGTAAACTTCATGGCTGCCAAAAAGTGCATAAGAAGTCAGAAATAACTTACAATATGGCAGGTGTTACAGTGCAATAAGGGCATGTCTTACATACATTATAAAACACAGACTGAAGTGGTTCCAGGAGTTCCAAGAGTTATGATGATACAGACTGTGATGTTGTTATTTAGATTAAATTCCTCCTACCATGTCTGCAAACTAATCTTTTTCCCTCTATTTGCTCCATTCACCACATTTAGATGCCACCATCTTGGATTTCCTTCTCTGAAAAGGAAATCCCCACTTCTCAGCACAAAACTTGAAAAGTCTTAGAAGGAGTTGCTGAGCCTACATCCTACAGCCAGGTAACCGAAGTGGTGTGGAAATATGACCTGCTCACAACTTTCAAGAGCCTTACAGTGGGTCAAGCTCAGGACCTAAGCCAGCACCATTAATACCTCAAGCAGCAGACAGCAGCAGTTAGTGGGAAAGAGGTCAAAGAAGTGGGGACCATTTGCCAAAGCACCAAAGAATATGTGTCTGTGAAGACACCACTCTTGGAAAAGAGATGTTGGCAGTAGTTCTGTGCATGCTGGTACACCTCCATGACATTGTCGATCCAGAAGGAGATGATGCCTTTTGTCCTGAGAGCAGGATTCTACCTCCCAGTTAACCAGACTTGTCTCCAGTGGGATGCTGTTCCCTGAATAATAAGCCTTGTCTCCCAGTCCACTGAAGCATTGCTCCCACACAGCAACACAAATTCCACCAAGTCAGCATGTCCATGGTGCCTGTGGAAAGCATATCTTTAGGTAGAGCATAAGGTCTGCAATCTCAGAAATCCAGGTTTTGGGGGAACCCTTGAGTCAAATCAGAGGGAATTCACAGCTCTAGGAATTTGACGTTTTGGCCCTTTTGAAAAATCTCACACCAGATCTTACAAAACTGGCAGTATTCACAAGTCTATAAATTAGGACTTCAAGAAGAATTCCTCCAAGAAGTAAACCACAGCCTTTGATTAAACCAAGGCTTCATCCTGTAATAGCTAAAAACCAGAAACTAGGACCACATTGCCTCATCTCTAATGTAAAACAAGAAGAGATTTGGAAACAGCTACAGGCAGGATTTTGCTTCACAGGAGGAAATCCAAGATGGTGGCTGGAAAGTGACAAATTCCTGCTTCTGCTGTTTTATTTCTGCTGAACTCAATGAGGTTGTTTAACTAACCTGGCCTTTGCATGAAGTGAACTCCTGCACCCACACAGCCTCATGTTTTCTGGATCAGTAACACAGATATATTGAGAAACACTCTTCGTTTCAGTTTCCCTAGAAGGGTAGTAAGAATATGGAGAGATAAAGCGAATTTTTTCTTCTTAAGCATAGAAGTAGTATCCAGTTTGTGCAAAATTTATTTTGTTTTCACTTGCTGATAGGAAAACTGTGTACCTTATTCAGATCTGCATAATTGGTTGGTTGGTTCTTTTTAATTTCTCAAGGAAGAAGAACTGTCCCTCCTCCCATCCAACCCCACAAATGAATGCAAAGTAGTTACTACACAAGGCCTGTTTGGGAAGATTATTCCTCATTGGCACCTCTCTTCTCTCAGAGATCTGTTCTATTTTGTCTCTTCTCACACTTTTTTCATGTTTCAATTCAGCACATCACATAACAGCTTAACATAGAGCAGAGACTCTTCTAACATCTAGTGGGCTGCTCCCTTCTCACCCAGCATTTCAGCTTCACTTGGCTTGTGATTGCTAGTAGTTGACTTCCTTACACAGAGATGGACCCTCTTTTGTTCCTTCTATCCTGCCTTCCTTTTTCTAATCCTTCACTGTGCCAAAAAAATTTACTTTGGAAGGTATTTAGAAGCTTTTTGATTTCAGCAATTTTAAAGGTGTCAGGCTGGGACTCTCCCCAAAAACAGCAATAGTTAAGTTAGCTAGCTATCATGTTTTAAATGTTTGTTATAATTTTAAAGAGGTTTTTCCTTTCTTCTGAAATGTGCCAGAAACATGGTGTTTCTGTTCTCTACAGTGGTTGGCCTCACTTTTATTTTCCTGTTTTTAGAGGGAAAAGTGGGTTAGGAAGACAGACAAGAGGCAGAGCAAATAATAAGCACAAATCAAGGACTCTTTCTTTGTTCTTTCCTCAAAAGAATGTCTCATTTGTTTCAGGCTTCATCCTAAGTTATCAAACAAAGTCCCATTCCAGCTGGGCAACAGATATATCTCAAAGTGTGACCACCTGCTCAGCTTACTGGGACTTTATCCTTTACATAGACACTAAGAGGCTAGTGGTTGCTCTGTGTCTGCAAGCAGCTGCATACAGATGGCGATGCACTGAACTCACCCATGAGGGTTTGAACTGCAAAGCGTACTGTAAATCCACTTGGGATTTTAAACACTTTTTTTTTTAATTCCTTCTAATTTTCACTCATGCTTGAAAATTTTTGCCCTTCATGAGCCTCAGAAGTCAAATCGGGCAAGGTACCACTTATTTTTCAACTCCAAGTGACGAAGGGTGGAGAAAGGATTTGTCATCGCACTAAGTTCTGGGAAGAACTTTGGGTCCCAAAGATTTCGCTGTAGTCAGTGGAGAGAGATGGCAACTCCCAGCTCAAATTGCAGGTATGTGAAAGCACTCTTTGGAAAAGCTCTTTTCTCTCTCCATGACTTTGGAAAGAACCCAGGTAATGAAGACAGATATAGATAGAAAACAGCTGTAGAAAAGAAAAGGCTTCTTTTTTTTTCAGATTTTCCTCTTTTTATCAGTCCTTACTGTACGGAGGAAAAGCTTACACACACACACACACACTGTCCTGACTGCACAAACATCAGGAATCATGTCCCACAAATTGTAAAAGACGTCTGTAAGACCTGGAGTCAGGTCAGGACTTAAACGTGCTACAAGTGCATATATATTTATGTTTTACACAGCAAATAAATAAACGCTTGCACAACATCAGGTACATAACTCAGCTCTGCATTCATGTTACCACAGTGCTTTTAGAATAAACTTGTGTCCTTGCACACCAGCCATATGCATGCCAGGAAAACTGACTCGGTTTAGTTTGGTGTAACTTACAATGAACATGTGTTTTGGGAACTATTAGAGGAGGAAGAGAGACTTATATTCCAGGTTAATGCTGGGACTATGTGTCATCTGACTTGGCAGGTCTGGGGCATTAACTGACATTGCATATCAGGTTAGGTTAATAATCCATGACTTGGTTCTGCTTGAGCAGATCTGTGTGCCCAGACTACAGATCAGTGACAAACCTGGAGTCTCAGGGGGAAAGGATTAGTTGCTCAGTCATCAGCAGGATGGCACTTGCACCACAAGATGTTCAGACCTAATGCCTGGATCTGCTGTGAATCACAAGCTACATCTGGAAAGTAGCAACGCAAATCTGTCTCTCCGGGGATGCACACAGCAGTGAACGCAGGCTTGGATGACAACATGACAATACTGGTAACTTGGAAGGGATATTACCAGAATGGGAGAAAAACTTAAAGGATATAAAAATACCTGCCTTTTTTAGCAAGATACTCCAAGAGACTGCGAAGACTTTCCCTCATTCCAAACAAGTTGGGAATTACCTCGTAGGCAAACTGATCAACAAGGGCTCCTTTGCCAAGGTGATAGAGGGACTGCACATCCCCACAGGGGAGAAGGTAAGCTCATAATGAGAGCATAACACGCACTAGGAATCGCAAGTAACTTCACACTAATTTATGGCAGAAAATTTCAGACCATTTAATCTGCAAACCACAATCTACTCAGTGAACTGTCCTCTGAACCTTATTCTCATAAATTAACCTCATAAGTTGAGTTTATTGCTCATGTATAATCAGTCACATCTGTGAATACGTATTTAGTGCAACTATTTTCACAATCATAAAATATAGGCAACAAAGATATCTTCCTACTGAAAGAGAGAAGGATGATGGCATAAAGACAATTTCAAATCTGCTTTCTCTAATAATCTTCATTGAGTAATTAGTGCTGGGTATCTGACCTTTAAAGCTATGGACAAAACTTAGTGAAAAGCCAGACACTCCAATAGCAATCATTTACATGGCAGGACACAGATAAACTCTATTGTCTCTGGCTCAATCAGGCTAAAATAACTTACCACTAGACACGAGTGTGGAAAGGTGGGTTGCTATAAAGTGACTTTCTGAATTTTACTTTTCTTGTGGCTTAACAGCTTCACTGCCCAACTAGCTCCCCAAACCACAGAGAGTCTAATCCCAGCCCACAGCACCCAGTATCCTGAGTGACTTTTAGATTAAGTTGCAGGGCAGCATGTTAGAAAATAGATGTGCTGCCTTTCAGATGCAGTTACCAGTTAAGCATGTAGGGATTTTTTGCATTTCAGAATATTTCGTATGTGCATATTTATTAATGTAATGATAGGGATAGATAAGACAGAGTTCAGCCTTTGTGTTTCGGTCTTCAGGAGAAATAAAAAGTGTATTTTTCCATTACAAATGTCTCCCTCTGTGATACTGATTATCAACACTATGTCAAAAACAGCCTCTCCCATGTCACCTTACCCCACACCCATTTGAAAACTAATCTTGGTTGTTGCCAATTTGCAAGTATCCTGCCATTTAGGTGGCCATAAAAGTCACTGACAAGAGAAGAGCCAAGCAGGATTCCTATGTTTTAAAAAACATGAAGCGTGAACCGCGGATACACCAGATGATTAAGCACCCCAATGTTGTTCAGCTATATGAGACCTTGGAGACTGACAACTCCTATTACATGGTGATGGAGCTGTGCCTCGGCGGTGACCTCCTGGACAGAATTTGTGAGAAAAAGAGGCTGGCAGAATGGGAAGTAAGGAGATACACCCAGCAAATTCTGTCTGCAGTAGAGCACCTGCACTGCCAGGGAATTGTTCACAGGTAAGATGTTTCTCCCCTTTCAAACAGTAAGAAAAAGAAGTGTGCAAGAACACAGAGTGCTCTTCTTCAGAAGAGCATTTCTTTATTTTTCTCTCATTAAAACAGGAATTGCTAAGAAAAAATATGTTCTCTCAACTCATTTTAATAAAGCATTTTATCCTCAGTAGTGGTTTTTTACTGTTATAGGCTGTTATGCACTCCTGGGGTAGAAATGTAACAAAGTCCAGGGATAAGAACTGATGAGCACAAAAAATCAAGGCTTTGCCACAATTATCTCAGAATTAGCTGGTGACAAATGTGTATCTAATTCAAATATTTCAGTATGGCTAAGCATATAAATATTGATTTCCTTTGGTTAGCCACAACATATTGAAATAACCACACATCACTCAGGACTGAAAATTGAGGAATTGCAGCTCACTACTCTGGAAAAGGACATGTCCTGCAGGTCTGAGTCTGAGACAGGTTCCTGGTCTTCCATACTGGCTTTTGCATTTGAAGGACAGATCATAACTTCAGCCACTGCTAGAGGAGCCTCAGCAGCCCACACAAGGAGAGCTGGTATTCCCCCCTTCTAGGGATCTCAGCACATATGCCAAGAGCAGCAGAATAAGACTTCCATTTTAAGTGGAAGAATAGGCTAGAAGCAGTTTTTCCCACCATTTTTCTGTTTTACTTGATGATTCACAGTCAGTCAGATCCTTAACTTTAAATGGTGAATGGATTCAACCAGAAAGTCCCCAGGACCTAACAAGTAATCCAACTGACTGCATCATTACAGAAACCATGAAACAAATAAGCTGTGAATGTGATGGCTCAGCATTTACAAGTGCTTTGTGACTTGAAATACTTGCAACCCAGCACTTCATTATATTGGATTTGTTAATTAAAAAGGAATAGACAGGAAAGAAGTTGACAGTATGTGACCTAGAGAATTTGAACAAACAAACAAAAAAAAAACCCACAAGAAAATAAACCCAAGGGGCTTCACCCCGTTAGTCTAGGCTGACATCCTTGCCTTGCTGGTTCCCTGACTAATCTATTTTACAGCATTTCTTTAGTGCTCATGATCATAACATTTATTTTCTTCCCATGAAAACATTCCTCATTAATTTCTCAAGCCCTCTACCTTTCTTTTTGTTTGGAAACAGCTCTTCACAGTGAGCTAGAGAGTAGCCTGACTTCTTGCCCTACTTCTCTCTTTTTTGTTGGTCATGTTTTGCTGGGAAAGCTTTGCGAGAGAGAAAAATTTTGCTTCGCATCCTGAGACTAACCATGTACAAAATGGCGTGGGCTCCTCTGGTGGCTTGATTTACTATCAAACTGCCCTAACCAAAGCAAAATTCATCCCTGGCTCTCCAGCATTTTGTCACAGGGTTTATGGAGTTGCATGGTCTGGCAGGAGACAAGCCACCTTGCTTGGTCGCAGGTGTAGGTTCAGTCAGCAGTACCTTAATTTGTGACCTGCTGCTGGCTTTGAGATTCAGAGCTGTGTCCTTGACCTCATATGAGAAGCAGGCTGGGAAAATCTGGAAGGGTTTCCCTGCTCAGCTTCAGCTGCAGTGATTTATAACAATTCTCTGCAGAGGTCAAACCAACGAGGATAATTGTGGGTGTATCCTCTTCTGAAAAAAAGGCATCAGTGTTCCCAGAAAGATGAGCACACAAAGAGGAAGGTTACCTCACAAATTCAATCTGATTTTCTCATCTAAGCATGGAGCAAAGCTCAACTCTTTAACATTCCTTTAACACAAGTGGAGGAGGGTTCCCAAGCTGCCTGTTGGGAATAGCTGCTTATCCACAGGGAGAGTCCTGGCAAAATCACACCAGGTATGAGTTCATAAGATGGATAATTGTATGCCAGTGTTTGGGTTTATGCATGGGGGTCCCTTTATTTTACTAAAATGGAGGTGACTGG